AGGAAAGTTGCCTCGTTTAATTTAAAATAACTAATATTTGCATGGTCTAGAAAGAATACAAAACCCACCTGCAGATGCTGGTAAAGAGTACTATAAATCAGCCTGTAAGATTGCAGTGATGGAAATGTTGAATGGGTTGGCATAATACTTGCAGTTTGGTTAGAACAACCTGGCTCTAAGCAGTGTCTGACACTGCACAACAGGGATGAGTGTGGTTGTCCTTCCTATTCTGCCCTTTTACAGATACATGTTTTCTATCTGCATGTTTCTAAGTACTTTGCAAAGGAGGTCGGTATCGTTATCTCTGCCTTAAGCTAAAGCAATTAATCCCAACTGAGAGGAAATCACATACTCAGAGTCATCCTGCAGGACAAGTACAAATGAGAGCTTTCTGTGTCCCAGTCCAGTGCCTCAAAACCTTAGGCCATTGCTCAGTGATAGAACTGAATGTGCTTTGCCTCTTTTTCTGTTTATGGTCTTTCTGGGCTGTGCAAATGATCCCTCCAGCTTTTGTTTATGAATCTGATGCCTAATGAGCAGAAACAAATATCATAGGATGTTTGCAAGCTATTTGTTGCTTATTATTTAGAATATTTGGCTAATCACAGGTCAGTTTGTGTTTGTCTTAGCTGTGTTTGATAAACATAGGCTCTTACAGCTGATGACAAAGAAATAACAAATAGCATCTTTCTTGCACCTGTATTCCTCATATTCTGAATCTGAGTGCTTCCAGAAATATCAGTCTCTAAAGTGTGAGCCATTTCTAAATATTAGTACAAATGAAACCTCAGTTGAGCGGGCAATAGCCTTTATTAGAGTGTGACTGTGTGCCACAGCCATTTGGAAAACTTGAAGTGGTGTATTCCTAACATCCAGATTAATTTAGTTTTCTCTGTGAACTTTACAGAAATTATTTGTAGTTTCAAAAAAACTTTGCCTATCAATAAATTTGCATTTACTTCCATGACCATATATTATTGTCAAAAGGCTGGTTTAAGTCTTCTCACAGGAGATAAAATAAACCCCAGTCCTTCGAACTTAGTAAAAGCCCCCCTGTCATATTCCCAGTGCTTTTCCTAAGCATTTCCCTTTGTATTCTTTCTTGAAAATATGTAACAGCTCCTGTACCCCTAACTACTATTGTCTTGCCTTTTGGAAAACAATGTTTCTGCCCTGGGGAAATTTCCATAATTTAAAACTGTACATTTGTTCTAAATTGGAAGAAAGATCCAAAGTGCTTAATTTCTGGGAAAGCATTTTAAAAAACAAACAAACAAACAAAAAAACAAACAAAAAACAAACAACAACAAAAAAAACCCTAAACAAATACCACAAACCAACTGATTCATTTTTTCATGTATTACATGCATCAAAACCAACATTTTAGTACTAGAGATGCTGAGTCTTGCAACAGTTCATATGTTCAGTTCAGTTGCATATGAAAATGAAATCCATTAACAGTAATGAAGACTGGCAAAGAAATGCAGATTTTTGGTCTGCTTGGAAAGTAGGTGGAAAAGGTAAGAGTGCCTAACCAAACAAAAATTTACCTTTTTTGAACAATTTCTCATTGTGGTCATAGAATCTGCCAGTACTGTGACAACTTCCATCACAGTAAGTGGGGCCTTGGATGAAATGCAAGATGTCTCTTTCCCATTTGCTGTTTTAGTGCTGAGGAATGCTTTCTAAGTATCTAATGATTTTTCTTAGTGATTTACCGGGAAAGCAGACTTATCCAAGTTTATGAAGAATGGGTGCATTACCGGGATATGAATTTGGTGGTTTTTTTGGGCACTGTATTGCAATAATCCAAAGATCAAGCAGAGATTTTGAGCAAATGTCAGGTCTACCCAAACTTAAAGCAAAGCTGTCCTTCCTGACCACTGCTATGTGAGCATTGTACTTACAGAATGGCAGTGGCACTTTATCAGCAGAGTCACAAGATCCTCTAAACTTGGACTGGAATTAAAAGTGTAAGCAGTGAAAACCAGTCCTGAGACTCCATAGTAATGCTGGATTACTGAACTACTCTTGTTTTCCCTTAAGTGAATGCTTTCTGTGTAGGATCTAGAAAAAAAAAGCCAACATAGTACCATCAATTAATCATCTTTACTCTTCATGTAACTTAGAGACACTGATTAAAATACCTTTACAGACCTATTACGGTTGTGCTAATACTTATGCAGTAGGATCTGGACTCCTCAGCCCCACTGCATTTAGCCTGGGCCAACCAGTAATAGAGAGACCTTGTCCATATCTTTATGCTGTTCCACTGTAATGCAAAGGGGCACCTTGAACCTTCTCCCTTTAGAGAAAGATACAAGTATATTGAGGGTTTTTTTCCTGTCTAAGCTCAGCCTGAGGTGGTAGATGCAGGCTGCAAAAATAGATTTGGTAATTTCTTTTGAAACCAAACTAAAGAGCTTAGCTTACTATGTTTGGGCTATTGTTACAGAGATTTCATCAATAATCATATTGAATCAAAATTACTTTTGTGACTTCTGGCACCTTCTCAAGATTTTTTTTTCATTCCCCCTAGGAAAATACCAGTGCTCACAAAGCTCCTATATTTGTAGCCTGCTAAGAGTATCCTGTTTCCAAGGACTTCCAAGGATTTTGATTCGAGTCTGCTCTTTATAAGCCCAGAGGGGAATAGACTGACTATTCTGCTCTAGATTTGCTTTTCTCCTTGAGTCTATTTTCCTTTCATCCCATTTCCACTATAACAAAGACAGAGTTTGAGGGGGAGATGTTTTTTACACAGCTCAGATTTATGGGTTTTTTTCCATCTCCTCTGCTGTACAGTTTTTATCCTCCCAGTAAGACTTTGATTTCTGGGCCATGAATCATTTTTCTGTGTTTCACTTCTATTATCTTTAATCTTCAAAATGTGGAGGAAGAAGCAGCTGCATTGACTCTGGTTCTTTCTAAGCTAGGTTTTCATGAAGACCTGTATCAGCAGTGCTCATGTAGAATCTTCAGTGACAGACAAAAAACGTCTGACAGATGACAGACATTCAGGAACAAGTGAAAATTCAGTTCTTACATCAGTGCATGGGTTTTGTTTGTGCATGTGTGCCTATGAGTGTGTGTGTGTTCTCAGGGGAAATACACCTCAGGTTTTTTTATTCAGTGATATGACCACAGCTCATCATTACTGCTTTCATTACTTGGTGCTTTGCTTCTTTCACTTCTAAATATGACTTCTGGCTTTACTCTTGTACTTCCTTTTAGAATGTTCTATCTGAGTTGGCTTATTTATTCAGACAGTGATCCAGACCTGAGCATTTTTTGCGACTCTGGGTTCGTATTAAAACCACTCTGTAGTTATCTAATCCAGCCAGCCACTGCCAGGGTCAGTGCTTACAGGCAGGTATCCTTGGTAAGGTGTATTTTTGTATTCCTTAAGTACTTCTTATGCATCGCATGTGCAGGTTGGTGACTCAGAATTGTTACTTGTAGTGAAAATAGATTTACCGTTTCATGTGCGTGCTTAGTCCATTTTCACTACACTGTAAATTAAGGACACTTTCAACATCCCGAGCTTGTTTTTCAGTGGTACCACCTGAGTTTCAGGAAAAAACAGCATAGCCTTACAGTGCAATTTTCAGTTACACATTAAACCTATGAACAAGGTTAATTCTCTAGCAGGATATGCAATGTGTTGACTCAGTCAGATCTGCAGTGATGTTACTGTTACATACACAGGTAAGGTAAGCTGGAGAGTATCCCAGAAAACAAACAAAAAAACCCAAGCCTATTTGAACTATTAGAAGATCCAACTAGAATTAGAGTAGAAACTATTTACTCCTACTGTATCTTAGACAACATTTTAGTAATATAGTGACTCAACTTACAGGGTAATGAAAGTGAAAACATTGTATCAAATGAAAATTAACATCAATAAAGCCCCCTACCAAAAACCGAAACCTGAGTGCTTGCAGAAAAATACAAAAATTTTCAGTTTGAGACTTCTGAAGCAATGATTCCACAAGATTCTTGTGTAATGAGACTACATATCTGAAACCTAATTCCTATTTGAGATGTTAATTACTTCTCTGTCACTCAGGTTAGAAAACCATTTAAAATCTCTGCATTTTTCTACATTTCCCTATTTTTTTGCTTGCATTGCTAGATATATCTATACACTTTTATGTTTTTAATTTCTTATGTCTTTCAAATCAATTATTAGAAGTTCATTAGGGTAAATACAGATCAAAACTTGACTGATGTAAAAGTTTAATTTTCCCCCC